ATACGGAGAAGGTACTAATCGGAAGAAAATGCTAAATTCAGTATGGATAAATGACATTTAGGCTTAAGTGGAGTATCTGATCTGAATATCTACACGCTGTCACAAGTTAATTTGATCTTGCTTTTGGAACAGTTTTTCAACACTTAAAATCTGAGTTTGATGCTTGAACTGAAATCATCAAATATTTATGCTTGATAATAAGTTACATAGGATGATAGGGTGAGGTTAATAAAAGCTCAAATTGATTCATTTAAGTTTCAACTGAGAAATCTTGATGTTTAGATAACTGAAAAGTTATATTTGTTTAAATATTTTTCTGGAAATCTAGATTGGAAAAAAAAAATGCTGGTAAACTAGAATTCAAAACGCCAGATCTTCCATGAATAAACTTTTTATGGCTAAATACTTGTATTCGTGTGATTATTGTTTTTAATCGTTCTTTATTACACAAGCATTTATATCGTGAAAAAATGTGATAATACATTTTAGATAATTATACAAAGTTATCGCAAATTTTGATCATAATATTTATGAAGACTTTATCATTGTGCTACAAATATTTAGTACTGTACATATTTAATAATATTGAATGTGTGTATATATAAGTCCCCCTGTGGGACAGCGCTAAGTTTACAAACTTACAATGCTTAAATCCGGGGTTCGATTCCCCATGGTGGACACAGCAGATAGCCAAATGTGGCTTTGCTGTACAATAAACAAAATATATACGAATTAACACTGTAGTTAAGATGTTTTCCGGTGCAAAAATATAGTTTACATACGACTTATCTTATGTCATAAGTCCGGAGTTGTCTAGTGGTTATCATGCTGAACTGAGGATCAGAAAATTCAAGCATCCAGATGTGACAGCTGCTCAGATTTTTACAACAAACTCCTGACCAATAAAAGGTTTCTCGAAAATATAATCATGTGATGTGCCATGGTGGGACAGCGATATATCTACGGACTTACAACTTTTAAATCCGGGATTCGATTCCCGTGGTGAAAACAACAGATAGCTCAATGTGGCTTTGCTCTAAAATAAGCAAACGCTTGGTGATATTTATTACTTGAATAACTGATATCTGTCTCTAAAAAAATGAGAGGGCCTCACTTTTGTGAACTGAAAATCTGAGTGTGTCCGGGTTTTATGATTTGAAAATCTGGTCATCATAAATATTCATGAAGCTGAAGTAACAAACATACGAACTAAACAAGCTCGCTAACTCTCATCAATCTACAATCTCTTCACTACACCTAGCTTAACCTTTTACATCGTTCATATAGTTTCAAAAAGAGTCTGGTGTGAAGTTTCTCGAAGCAAAAAGCTGTAAATGTTCATGCACATTATTTCCTGAGTGAAACAAAAAAAACAAACTCGGATAACATTTAAAAGGGAGAAAACATGCTCACAAAGAAACTGTTCATATCTAGTTAAGTTTCATCTAGATGTTGTAATATTAATTTATCCCCCCAAATGGGAAATTTTTAAGATTCCGAGTCTAATTATGGCACTGTTAGCCCTAATAACGTTTTTCAACAGGAAAGACTTGTCAAATATCTTTCCCAATTCAACTTCTGGTTATCACAAGAGCTTAACTTTTTGTTTTGGCTCAAATACAATTCAAGTAGTCTTCATCAGCTAAATATTTGATTTCTACACGTTTGTCATGTGGTATTTCTGTCCTTAAGTGCAGTCAACACACTAATGCTGATAATAGCATGACTTCCTATATTTTTATAGGCATTATGCTAGTGATTAGTTATATTACAGCCAGTCACAGCGTAAAGTATCAGCACGTGACTATACTTTGGTGTAGTTCATTTTCATGCAATAGAGGTATATTTTTATAAGCATTTTGGTAGTGTAGCATTATCTGATTAGTTATATTACTGCCAGTTACAGCGTAAAGTACCAGCACGTGACTATATTTTATTTTCATGTAATAGAGGGCGCGAAATTCCATAATATTTGCATTTTATACCCATTTCATTCACTGATTCATAATTATTTACTATAAAAGTATATTTAAGCTTCATTTTATAATGATGAGAAATCTTTATAAATTGATTCTCAAAATAAAAGTGTTCTTATATTTTGTTTTGTAATTAGTAATCAGATATATCAAACATTTCATTTTCTAATTTAGCTTATTTTCTTTATTGACTACAATGACAATCAAAAATCGGTTTTCCTTGTACACAGAAATCTGTAACAATCAAAACTCTCCTTGAATAATCTAAAATTGAAAACAAATTAGTTGTAAAACAGAATAAAAATGTGGCAGTTTCTTGCATACTATTATATCAAAACTGGTTCAATCAAATACAAAACATTACTGTTTTTTTTATTATTATTCAGATTGTATGATCTAACAAAAACAAATATATTGTTATAAGCTAAATTTTCATTGTTTTGATTTAGATGTTTTCTAGGGGGCGCATGACTTTAAGATAAAATAAGTTCACAAAAGTAATCTTAAAATACCTTAATTTTTCGTAAATGTTAATGATCGAGAGAGTTTATGAAATATCTAGAGAGAAGGATATACTATAAATATTAGAAACAGTGAAGCACTAGTTTCAGTTTGTGCAGTGATTAAGTGAAATTCAGATCAGTATTAGTTATCACGTATACATATTCATTTACACGATCGATTAGCCGTAAAATTGTACAGTTTACGCTTATTACACGCTAGTCGTACCATCATTAGCGAATAAACTTCTGTTGAAAGTGAAAATATTTGTGTACTAGGGCCTATAACTGTGTACAAGTGATAGTAGCCTGTAGCAAACGTTGAGGAAGAAAGAAACTAATTTGTTATCGTTACGTGGACTGCACCTCGCATTATTTTCACCAAATAGTTTGAAAGAACGTAAACAAGGAAAGGAAATGTTACAACTTAGAGCAATATATATAATGGATTACGTAAAAACTAAAAACAGCTAAAATTTTTATTTTAAGATGACTCTTACATCTTCAGTAGGGTGACCAGACGTCCTGGTTTTATTATATCAAACTGTCAGTGTCACATGGAATCACGAAAATAATAGGCCTACTTCTCTTACTCATTGTTCTAACACGTACTCTCCTGTCTCCAAACTCTTTTTATTGAAAAAAACTGAACTGAATATGCCTAAAAAAGTTTCAAGGTAATACTAATACTTAAAAGTACATCTTTGAAAATGTTATGGTTATTAAATAAGTCTAGATATAAAATAGCCTATTTTAAGATGAATTGGATAAAGTGAATAATTAAAATTTTCTTGGATGTATAATTTGATTATTTTGCTCATTTGTTTAAATTATTTCAGAAAAATTTCAATGTTGATATATTTGGAAGTATTGTAGAAAGTTCGATAAGTTTAAGGTTAATTAAACAAATGATAAATTATTTCGAATTTAATTTAGATAAATTTCAAATACAAGCAAAAAATTATAAAGAAGTTTGAATACTACGTAGTTAGATCCACGTGTCTAATCCAATCTCATTTAATGTGGTTTTAAGGGTCATTAAATTTAAAGTTGCTGATACAAATACAAAAATCATTAATAATGGAGATTTATCATAAGTTTTTATAAATATTTTAAACTACTGAAAGATATTTTAGTGCTGTAGTAACTTCTATAAAACCAGATTAATTACTAAAACATATGAACGAAATGTAAATATGATTAAAAAGTATATAATTCTAATCAATATTTGCATCAAGGTTTACAAAATCCTCTAACCCAGTAAGTCATCAGTTTTCTTGACTTGTTTTGTAGGTGTTTAGCAAGAACAGTGAAAAAGTTGCTGTCTATCTTGTTTAAGATCTAGCGCATTCTGAAGAATAAAATATTTAAAGATTGTCATTCAAATAAATATCAATAGAAATGTGACCATACCCAGAAAGTTATGCACACTTTAATTTTGCTGATAAGTCTACTAGTGTTCGCAATAGTAAAGGTTTGCATATAATGATAATAACAAATCCTATATAGACCTGATAATTTTAAACCCAGGCGTAGGACTAACGTCTACTCGAGCTTTCAGTGACATACTAAATCTAAGGCCTTGTATTCATCTAGACTCTAGAGCATGTAAATTGAGCAGTCGGGAAGCCTAATTCTAAATGGACAAATTCTAAGTTCAGAAAATATTAGATTTTGAATAAATAAGGCAACATTAGCTGAAGGAGTGCACACACCCACACAATGTCACATATATCGTTTTGTTTTTTCGTGATCTTGGTGACCTTTTTGGTCTTTTATACTATAACAAGGGTGACGATCGGCATAAGTAGTGGAATATTACAATTTATAATTCTTACCACGCTTATACGAAGTTTATATTTGACGCCCTTTAGCATTTAAAAAAACAGCAGTAGCTTAACAGTACAATTTCTAGGAATTACAACTCATAAAGAAGGCACATTAAAGTAAAGGTAGCTTTGTTTTATCACATAATATGAATTTAATCTAACAGAAAAGTTAATTAATCTTTTCTGGCTTAACAAAACAAGTCAGAATCAAGTTAATCGGGAATAAGACCACATGTAACTTAGACAGCTCAATCAGCGTCTCAACTCAGAAAACTAAGTCATATATCCTATTCGATTCAAGAAGATGTAATAATGTCACATACAACTCATGAAGCTGAAACAATGTCACATAATAATGTTACATTCAACTCAAAAAGTTAGAATAATATCATATTCAATTTGAAAGCTATAACAATGACACATTTACTTCGGATAACTAACTTGAATAAAATTACATTATCGTGAGTTTTATTATCTCGTTTGAAAAGATTTGAACTTTTTTCACGAACTATTACAGATTCAAGCATAATTGTTCTTTATAGAAAACAAGTTATAAATACAGAGTCATTTAAGAAAAAAAAATTCGACTCATTAAGTGAACCAACAAAAGCTACTAAAATGAAGTCAGGATATAAAGATTTATGTACTCTGGGTTCCAGTTAAGAAGTTACCAGAAAATGACCTTTTTTTTGTTGTTTTAGGGCTGACATTTACTTGCGTGTTCACAGCTGATAATATAAAGCCGACATTGACATAATACTATAATAGCAAGTAAGCACAACTACTTCTACCAAAGCCCTGCTGATTTTCCTCCTGGTGGGTTTTGAATTCGTTTTCCACTCAGTCTGATATCTTTGTCGTCATCAATCTGTGCTCCTAAAAATAACAATACACTACACTTTCAGTACTTAAAAAATTACAAATCAAGAATGATCATTTATGATAAGTTGTCGTTTTCAACTCTAGCATAGATTATAGGACCTTTAACAGAAATGTTGAAATTATTAGCTACACAACACTATATAATACTCCTATATCATAGCCTTAGCATTGCATATTTCAAAGGTCAGTAGCAGAAGCTGACCACGTGCCCTAGGCAACAGTACGCAACATAATCAAGAAGAATTGCTGTCTGGAAAAGGGACATAAGTCATGTAGACATAAGTTGCTTCCACGACACATCCGTTCAAGTGCTGTATACCTCAAGTAACTGTAGAATGAAACGCATATTCATGTTATTACATACAAAGGTATATCGATCAAGTTGCTTATGGATTTCTGTGTGAGCGGACTATTGAAACTGTCGCTGATAAAAGGTTATCTTAGTATAGTGATTGGCCTATGTTAGGCAAGCAGGCAGTAGGAGTGTGCTTTGAACATGACAGCTGCAGGACTATTGTTAAGATGTACGGTCATAAGATAAAGAACGACCGGACGTGGCGATATCGACTGTAACAACGTGGTAAGGCTCCCAAATCGTTGTCATATAACGTACCCAACCTCTATACGTAATTCTTGTGTAAGGAATCAAGCATTTGAAACCCCATACCTATAGTAACAATTTATACTTTGTAGACAGCAGTACATGTACTTCAGGATTAATTATATTGCTTTAAATATATTTCTTCGTATTTACAAATACTATTTCTAACACTGCAAATGTCATAGTTAATAACAAGAATGAGGTTACATAAATTCATTTAATACTTATATATTATACATTACCGAAGAACAAGAGACTTTTGAAAGTAAACTAGCTTCAGTAAAGTTGCTCTTCACAACAAATGCACTACAATGGATAAATTGAATAATTTGTTTTGAGACATTTCTTAGGTATTGTTTTCAGTAAAAATTTAAACAGAATAGACAGAGCAAGTTTGAAATCTTAGATATAGAAATAATGGAATACAACTGCCTGTTGAAAAAAAAGGAGACGACGTTTCGGCACTTGTACAGAGGTCTTATTCAGGTTTTAGTTTTATATAATATTGTGTATGAATGATGACTTTGTTTATCAGATATTCACAAAAAGTTACACGAGGACTATATGCACTAGTCGTCCCTAATTCTGAACTAATGGACTAAAAGAAAGGTAACTAGTCAGTAACGCCCGTCGCCAATTCTTGAGCTACTTTAATCGAATAGTAAGACTTAGCACTTATACTTATAATGTATTGACGGCCACAAAATGTCAAAGCGTTCATCTGTATCTCGTTTACGGCGGCCGCTTCTCGCGCTGGGTTTGAAAAGCTGCACACTCAGGCAAAGTTCAACATTTACTTTTGAAATGACGGGAGAACAGGCATGAATAATGTTGATGCCAAATTTTATTTCACAAGCAGGATATTCTACATTAAATTGTAAGGAATTAATCACACTATCGTTCACATTTCAAAACGTCACGTAATTTAAACAATAAAAATGTAGGTTTACTGTATGATATTGTTGAACGGTTCTTAGCATGACTGAAATGTTCAACAATTACTTTTCTCGGTAGGCGCCATAAGTAGCTCAGAGCTTTGGTTCTGAGTGAAACCAAGAGTGCAAAACAATTAACATTTTTAAAGTCCATGAAATAATATAAATTGATACATTTACTTAAACTTTTCCCGTCACTGGGGACGGGTACTTTCGCTTGTTCTTGTATAAAACACTCTTAATTTTTAAACTATGTATACAATCCAAAATATGTTACAAACTAATATGTTTGGCATACGCAACTACTTTGGTTTGGTTGCTGTTAAGCACAAAGCTACACAACGTGTGCTCTGCCCATCACGGGTATTGAAACCTGAATTTTAGTGTCTTAAGCCTGTAGATATACCGCTGAGCCACTGAGGGAGAGGGACTGTAACTAATAATTGTGTAAATAAAGCAAAGAAAAATTGTTTCAAGATGTGCTTAGTGTAATAGTGATTTCAGTGTGTGTATGTATTTTGTTTTTGTTTGTTTGTTTGTACGTTCATTGAACAGAAAATGCTTATTTTTTTTTCAAATGGCATTAATATATTTTAACCAGTTCTAGAGAACCTACCAGAAAGACTGAAGGTTGAGTCCTGCAAGTTACGACCCCCACTTCGGGTAGGAGGACGGGAGTAAAATTCAGAAGATTGGGATATTATCTCCGTTACCTCGACAGCTTCATCTACAGTCTCTCCTTCAAGGTCACCTTCAACGGCAACACTTTCATATGGTTCTCTTTCAACTTTGAAAGGCTGACATGCCTGGTAAATGGTAAAGCATTCTTTAGTTGACTAAACACTTGTAATCTAACTACAAAAGGTTGAACAATAAAACACCTCTAAAAACTTTATGGTGAAACGTCAGTTGTCTTAAAAACGTAAATATTATCACCGAATATACAGTATCGGAAAAAATGAAGGAAAAATGTGAATGAAGTAGGTATAAAATACAAAATTACCGAATTACTGTCCATTGCATTGTATGAAAAGAAACATGTTGATAGTTTACATTGTTTGGCTGTCATCCAACCAATCACACTGTGCCTCATCAACATAATGTTTTATAAAAGTACATACAATCAAACTGTTCCCAGCAGTAGTGTTGTGGTTACACTCATGGTCCCGTGGACAGAAATATTGTAAACATGTAGTTTTGGTTGAATGCTACATGCGATAAATTGAGATAAAATTTCTTGCTTCATTAAGAGATATATGAAAACTTTAAAGAGAGAATGTGAAACTAGTACTGTTGAAAATAGAAACGGTCAAGATAGAAAGTCCAAACTCTTCGAATGTGATATTAAACAAATCCAGTTATGTTATGTACGTCAATCCAGTACAAACCTTGTGAATGGTCTAGCTGTAAGAAGTATTGATGTGAATGATGTCTCCAGGACATTGAGATACACATTAACAGTAAGTGGCCTCAATGGATGTTACACGTTAACAAGAAGTGACCTCAATGGATGTTACACGTTAACAGGAAGTGGCCGCAATGGATGTTACTCATTAACAGGATGTTTAACAATGGATGTTGAAAAGAGATAACCAAATCGAAAGGCCAATTTTTACAGTAGGACCGTTTCATATAAGTGACTTAGACTGCTAAGCAGTTTTTAGTTTTGGTGTGATTGCAGCCTAGAAATTTAGGAAAATCAAATGTTTTGAAATAACTTTAACCTTGCGATAGTTTTATTGAAAACAGTACAAAGGGATGAACAAAGCTAGAAGAGAGAAGATTAGTATTACAATCAACATACATCTCAGCAGTGAACGATGCTTGGATAACATTACAAGTGTGAATTGCATCTACACAAACCTGATGGCACCCCTACCTGTTGTACATTCTTATTCATTAAGTCATACCCTCAGGAATAAAGACACTGGTCCCAAGTATGCAGCAAATGTGGTGAAACGATACTTGGAGGATGATGAAAAAAGGTCAATGGAACACTCACTAACAGTTCCAATGTTAATATTATTAAAGTTATATGGGATTATATGGAAGCTGAAAAAGTCAAACGATAATTAAACAATTTGGCTGGATTCTGGGAAATAATATCAAACATTTGTAAGAATAATTCACAATCATACGTTGATAAACTTATGGTAACACAAAAATAAGATGCACTGCTTTGTTTAAAGTAAATACAAAACACTATACCACTATACAAGCTATTCACTTTACTTTAGTATTTTCTGTAATAATGTATGGCACTAATAATAAATTGACCACTTAGTTGCACATTGTTTGTGACTCTTGTATGTGTATCCCCTGTGCGTTTCCTTAATCATTTCCAATACTGTATGTCATCCAATTATGAGTCATTTTCTCTCAAAACAACTAATAAATGAAAGAGAAATTATTGATTTGCTCAACAAACAGTTAAAGAGTGAGATACTACTGGGATTATTGCCAATAATGTCGATAACAGTGAGGGAACTCAAAAATGTTGAATTAATGTACTCTAATAATTTTAAGTTTTTGTTTTATGACATCACATATTCCTAGTTAGACCGGTATATAAAATTAACTGTATTATATGCTAACTTTTTATTTTTTAGTTCTAACCTATGTTGGTAGCTTGCTTTGATCAGAGATTATTGATAAATAATATATATTTTGTTAATTTAATTTTAGTTGCTTGCTTCATTAAACTTTTCGACAACAAACTAGGTTAGAGTCCTACCTTATCCTTTGCTCGTACACAAGAGAAGATGTATGGACAAAATGGTGGTGTGTCAATAAACCTTCCCTCTCCCTTTGTCACTTGCAACTGGAAAATAAATACATTCATGTATGATAGATATAAACAAAAAACATCAATGAGAAAGTTAACTAATACGTGAAACATGATTTAAATATAATTTGTTTATTGTCTCACAGCTTGCTGCCCTGCTATGAACAGTCATTGATCCTTGCTGTAAGAAAGAGTTATTGACCTGACCTAACATTGCTAAACCTCAATACGTTCTCAACCTGTGTAAATTTTGTGAAGATAAATATAATTTTAAAAAATGAGCATGTAATGTAAAAGAACTAAATTACATTGCTTATTGAAGATTTTTTTTCAGAAGCAGATTCCTAAAATTGTTATTTGGACTCTTCTAATACATTAAATTAAACTTCTTTGTACGTATTTATTAGATCCACGTTTCCTATCTAACATAACAATCGCAGATACAACATACATTTCAGTTCTTTTAACTTACATTAAACCTGATCAACAACAGAGTTTCCACCAGCTATTACAATTTCACCTACTAGATAACATTTCAGTTCTTTTAACTTAACAAACGTTTACCTGACCCTGATCCACAACAACCCTTCCACCAGCTATCACAATATCGGCCACTCCATGACATTCCATTCCTTCAAATATATTAAAGTCTGCTTGAGAGTGGTGAGTTTTGACAGAGATAGTACGTGTTTGCTCTGGATTCCAAACAACAATATCTGCATCTGATCCAACCTGGATTCGGCCCTATACATATAAAGAAGATTCAAGGCTTGTGAAACAAATTAGACAATTCTTAAAAATCGATGTTATGTTTCATTAGTTAATTAACTTTGTAAACTCAAGTTGTATTCACTCGCTGCTGGGGTTCCCCTTGGACAACTAAATCTACTGTGATATTCTCAGTTCATTTAGTCACAAATAACAAGAGAATCGACAGGATATGTAACTTGGAATAAATCCGAATCTCTCACGTTGACTGATCTTGAAGTAGAAAAGAGACTGGATACAATGTACACAACGTTCAAGGCAATCTTTATTTAAAACAAAAAAGCAGTCAAAGTAAACGAGTGTATTGGATGATAGAACAGAACTTTTTGGTCTCAGAACGAGAGTGCTTGATTTTCTATCTTGTTCTTAAGATATTCTGCGATAAGGTGTCCGCAGTGAAAGAATACAATAACGATATAAAGAATGCAATAGGGTCATCTCTCCGAGTGCGCATGCGTTACCCACGTCACTATCTGTAATCCCTAAAGCAAAAGAGGGATATTACATTTCCTCAATGTATCACTAGACTTGCCAATGGCTAAGATAACTGCCAATATCTTCACAGTGTATTCGAACTATTTATACTAAAATAAGCTTCTCCACGAGAAAATTCGTGTGATACCACAGTAGAATGACCCAGGAGAACATGTAACTAGGGCAATAGCAATTTAGCTACATTTGTAGCCAACTGTCTACAGTAAAACAAATATACGTGTCTGCTTGCGTGTATATGCGAGAGAAAAAAAAACATTTTGAAATTTAGGTCAAACAACAAATATTCCCCTGTCTGAACTAAAAGGGAAAGAAACGCAGGGTAAGCTTTGCACACTACACCACGAAGTAAAATTGTATACACATTAAAAGTTACAGAAGTAATAATACTTATGATTTTATGCCACATAAATATTGTAACGTTCCATAAGAACATATACCACCGATACCTTAGATATTGTAAACTAGTCTTGAATAATACTTAATTGTTCGTTTTCATTGCTGATACATTTAGTAACTCACAAAATGTCCAACGGTGAAAATTCAACATTACATTCATTCTTGTTCTTACACGACTATAAACAAACAAGCTGATTGGATATTTGTTTAAATCTTTCAGCTGACACGATAATTTTTCGTAATGCACAAGCATGAAAGAACATTTGGTTGACTATGATTGTGGTTTAGTATTTTATAAATATGATTTTTAAATAGTAAAGAAACTGTAACACGAAACTTATATCATCAATAAAACACATAATCCATACTGGGGTTTTACACTCCGTTACTTGGTAATGTTATTTTTTCGGTTTCTTGTAAGCTTATCAAACGATTATGAAAAACAAAGAAACCTTTTAACACTTACTTTCCGTGGGTAGATGTTGAATATTTTAGCTGCATTAGTACTGGTTACAGCCACAAACCTGCACGGATCCAATATTCCCATCACCTGATTTTAGGTGAAAAGAAAGAATACATATTATAGTCACTAGATTTTCAATTAAAATAAACACACAAAAAGATAGATACAAATTGGACGTAAATTCTGTTTCCTTGCGATCTGGTTAAAAATATTCAAGCAGAAGAAACCACATGTTGAGATTACCTTATAGTTTTGTACATATTGCACTGTCATAAAAAATGAAACTCCAAAAACGAGAACACTTCTCTTTATTCAAACAAATAATTATTCAGATCTAACTTAACTCAAATTTAACTTTGTCATTTCCTTCTCTTATGTAAGCAGTTACATGGGTTTTACCTGTCTGTTTTTTTATATAAATACTGCTATGTGGGTCTTAACGGTTTGTGTTTTCATATAAATACTGCTATGTGGGTTTTAACGGTCTGTTTTTTTTTAAATACTGTTGTATAGGTTTTAATGGTCTGTTTTGTTACGTAAGTATTGCTACATGGACTTTAGCCATCTTTTTCTCTTAAATTTAATTAATTGGTTGAACAGTCTGTTTTTGGATATAAGATAAATATGATTACCTGAGTTTTAACAATCTTTTTCCTCATATAAGTATGATTACCTGAGTTTTAACAATCTGAAAACTCAGGTAATCATATTTATATGAGAAAAATGAGAAAACAGATTGTTAGATTGTTAAAACTCAGATAATCATATTTATATGAGAAAACAGACTGTTAAAACTCAGGTAATCATATTTATGTGAGAAAATGGACTGTTAAAACTCAGGTAATCATATTTATTTTTTCTCATATAAATATGATTACCTGAGTTTT